TTGGTGGCAGGAAAGTTAGTTACTCTCCCTTATCCTTGATTTTATCAAACATTAACTATACTTTTTTATAAAGAGTAAAAAGCAATCAACTATCTTTTTATTCTATTTCTCATAGACGATGTTGTTAATGAAGTTATAGAAAAACTTCAAACAAAACTTGGGCTTTCTATGAATGGTCTCATGGTTTGATGGCTTGAACTCTTTTTTTTTTTACCTATTCCTAAAAAACCAGTCTCTTATAGAAATATAGGACACTTAAATGCTTAAGTTAGTTATGGTATAAAAAAAAATATTCATAAAGAGAGAAAAAATAAAGTAGGGAATGTGTATCTGTGTGTATAGTATAGTTTGGCTAGCTTTTGCATGAGTGGCTTTTTATGGCTAAGTGTCACTCTAGATGGTCAGGATGGGATCCCCTATCTTTGTATGGTGATTGTATGACCTAAATATAAATTTCTCTAGCTTGTAGGCCTATATGTGCTCTGGCTTATTTTCCTAGTGACTGTATATATTTATACACACTAGGCCTTGGAATGTTTTTGTGGGAAAAAAGATGTTTTATTGGTGAAAAAATTGATGTTGTTATTAGTTGTTGAAATGATCATCCATTAGAGAAAGAATGGTGTCATGCTTGTCATAACTCATTTATAAGTTATTCCTTAAATTTACCTTTATAAAAAATAAAATAAAATAAAAATAAATAAATAAATAATTATAGCAAGGACACTGGAGATGAGGAAAAAGTTGGTTGAGGAAGGATTTTATATATGCAAAAAATCAAGTTGCAATTTTGAACGAAGTGGGAAGCATGATCGTACCTCGTTATGCCTAAAATTAGATAGACAGTGCAGATTCAATGTCAAATTAAATAATTAATGGATGAATTTACATAAAAATTTAGTTTATGGACATAATTAGATTTTTAATATGTCAATTTGATTTAATCACAGACCAAATTAAAGATTTAATTATGTTTAGGAATTAATTTGTGTTTAATTAAAAGATTTAATTAGGTGCAATGACTTAATTATACTTTAAATTACTCAAATTAATTTAATTGGTGAAAAAATAAGTTTTGGAGAGGTTAATTTGAGTTTAATTAAGGTGATTAGAATTTTTGGAGACCAAAGTTAATTCTTACTAATCAATTGATTAAAATCAGGGGTCAAATTGAAGAAATTCACAGTCAATGACCAATTTGCAAAAGACACCTAACTATGAGGATCCAATTGATTAAAATCAGGGATAAAATTGAATATTTAATGGTCAACTAAAGGTAAATTTGCATAAATCTAAGACCAAATACCAAAAAATTTTATAAAAAAAAGTGTTGAAATTTGGGGCTGACATTGAAGTTTGGTAAGGGAAAATTTTCATAAAACTGTAAGTTTAAGGTTAATTAATGGTGCAATTAAAAGAAATTAAAAGTCAGTAGATCTAAATGAACTTTGACTGAACACCGCAATTAAAAGAAATTAAAAGTCATTAGATCTAAATGAACTTTGACTGAACACCTAAATTAAACCATAAAATGTCCAAAACAACACTATTTTGAATGATAAGAAAATCAAGACTAAACGATGTGTTGTCTAGTTACTATTTAATATTTTCTTCCTCTTTAGCCTAAAAAGACTACTCGGTAAATACTTTTTAGAGGTCTTTAATGCTTCATCTCTTCACTAAATTTGACAAAATATATACTACCATGATAGTTTGATATTTAACTACGCCCTAGTATAGTTCTTTATAGTTGATTGACAATATAAAGGCCTCAATGCCGCCCCAAAGTAGCCAACTCAAGCAGCTTATAGTTTCTAACCTTTTTAGGTCATGAAAACAACTTTGAACAAACAATTAGGATCTTTCTAGTTCGAATAAAGGGTCAAGATCGATCCCTAAAAGAGATAAGTGTCCCTCTTCCACCCTGTATAAATAGAGGTGGAATCCATGCATTGAGTATCAAGAAATTAGAGAGCAAGGTCAAGAATAACCATTTTTTTAGCATTATTCTCTCTCTCTCTCCACCATTATTTCAACTTCAGCAACCACCCAACCACCAACAACTGCCTATACACCCTTACCAACCCCGGCTCATTCACCAACAATCATTGTCCACAACCATTGTGAACAACCTATAACCAATGCTCGTCGTTGATTCTTCTAATGGCAACAACCACTACTAGCCTCATAGTGGCCCTCCCAACAGCAACAGCCACCTCCATGCCAAGTAATCATCTTCGCCTCTATCCTCTTGTTTTCCTCTTTCTTTTACATGTAAACGTGTAGAACATGAATTATAATTCATGTTCTGCAGTTTACAAATACAACTTAGTCACCGGCCTAGGCTGGTGACCAAGTTGCATGGGCTAGACCAGTTTTGGTCGAGCCTAAATAGTTAGACCGGGTCAAACCTAATGTTTTTTTTTTAAAAAAAAGGAAGAAGAAGAAAAGAGGCCAAGTCTATTAAGTTGTTTATTGACTTAACCCAACTCGGTTGGGTCGAGCCTAGATGATTGAGCCGGGCCTAGCCCATATAATAATGATGATGATAATGATAATAATAATAATAATAAGAATAATGTAAAAAATCCAAAAATTTCTAAAAGTCCTTTTAAATAATTACCAATTTTCTTCAATATTGGATCATAAACTTACACTGTAAGATACAAACTAGGTACAAAATACTTGATTATCTTTGAAATTTCTGGAAAAAAATACAAAAAAAAATCCTTATTTCTAAAACACAAAAAAAAATACTTTATTTTCGTACATATAGCCAAATCCTAAAAGTTTTTCATACATGTTTTCTAAAAAGAGAATCATTTTTATCATATTTTAAAAATACAAAATGGATATCGTAACAAGTTTATAATTATTTATTAGGGTTTGGCCAAAATATCAAAAATCTTTCAACAATTATATTGTTTAATTAATATTTGGAGTGTTAGGATTTAGCTATAGACTTTAATATTTAAAATTATAAAATTACATCATAAATTATACTATAATGTATTAAAGATATAAAATGTAAAATAAATAAAATGCTAAAATTTAAACCATAGAACGGTGAGGATTTAACTTAATAAGGTAAAAACTTCCTCACGATAGAAAATCTACCTTGAACCGTAGACAGGACTAATAGATAGAAAAATAATCTAGAAAAATAATCAAATAACAATGCACCTTATCTTACATAGGGTGTGTTAGGAGTGATGTGTTTTTCCCTTGCATAACCAGTCCCCTACCCGAACTCTAGCAGACTATAAATTTTTCAGAAACCATAATATTAGATAGTGACTCCTAAACTCATTGTCATAATTTTATAATTATACGTAAAACTCATTTTCAACACACATCTCAAAAGGCAGACCTACCATCACATCATGACACTCCTAATGCTATTTTATATAGGACAAAAAAACCATTATGGTTGTTTATTTGTTAATGTGTTATGACATTGTTGTTATTCTAAACGCACTATTGGTGAAAATTTTATATACAAGAAAAATTTATATGTGCGGCTCATAAGAACCCAAATATATATATATATATATATATATATATATAAAAGG